TGACCATTTGTGATCTATAATTTTTTGATATTTGACCTCGAAATAATCTGCGACCTATCAAAATTTTGATTTGTAACCTCGAAAAAATTTGTGACTAATTAATTTGATGATATGTGACCAGTAAATAAATCGGTGACTTATAATTATGAATATGTGATCATTAATCGTATAGCTGTGATTTTATTATCGTTATTTAATAAATATTTTTAATTAATTTGTTAAAACCTGATTTTTGAATTAATGAAAAATATAACTTGAATTTTGAAATATGCATAGATAAAACCTGATTTGTGAACTATTCCCATATTTTTATGATAGTCCCATTCTTCCATTTTTGGGAGGACGTGGGTTGGGTTAGGTCAATTTTTTTCCAACCCAAACCCAATCCAACATGATTGGTTTGATTGAAAATCAACCCAACCCAAATCGATCCAATTTATTTGTTAACTTTAAATAATTTTTTAGAGTTGGAAATTACTTGAAAATCTCCGTTTTTTAAACACATAAATAAGTAATTCTTTCTAAAAATAATGTATAAATAAATTTAAAATTTATAAAGGATTTTCTTTTTTACAGTTTTTTGGAATTCATTCATTTCATCATCACGTCTTTAATTTTTATTTTATCGTCAAATAACATCGCATTTGTTCATAGTGCTCATGTGAATCAGTCTATGTGAAAAAAATGGACGTTTATAAATTATAAATCATTCTCTTATCTTTACTATTGTATCTATTTAAATTTTTTTTCCATCTTAGATATTAATTTTTTAATTTATCGGGTTGTCTTGGGTTGAGTTTTTATTCATAACCTGAGACCCAACACAGTCCAACCTTAAATTCAATTTTCTAATTCAACCCAACCAATTGAACTTAAAAAATCGACCCAAATTCATTGATTTGGTTTGAGTTAGTCGGGTTGAGTGGTTTGAGTTAGGTTTTGTCCAGTCCTGCTTCCATCTTTAAATATAGAGTGGTATTTAGTATTGGATAAATTGATGCATGAATTATATGATATTAACAAATATATATGTGTGTGTGTGCGCGCGCGCGCGTACAAAGATAGCAAACTGTGACTTACACTTGCAAAATATCAAATAGAAATTTGACTTATTGAAACCAATATACAAGCATAAATTTCGACGTACTAAAACGTAGAAGTTAGACGGAGATGAATATAAGTGGGGTATATGAGAATGCAAATCTCCTTAAGACAGATTTCGCCATCTACACTAGTGCTAAAAGATGAAATAAACGTTTGTCCCCAAGATACAACTCTTCTTCCAAAATTGATATAGTACATTATTAATTTGCCAGGAGAACCAATGTTTGATCATACTCTTCTAGCACAGAAGATAACAAATACTAAATATCAAATACAAAACTCAAAAATAATTTTAAAATTATTTTGACAGAATTTAGAGAAGGAAATAATTAGAAATCAATTATTTGGAATTGATTTGGAGTGAAGAATATGGAATTAGGAGTCCTATTTATATATTGTCATGTGCCTTTTCCTAATGGTAGCATTTTTTGGCAAAATTAATTTTAATGATTATATCGCATCATTTAAATTTAATGGTGTAAATAGCACCCCTATCAAAAGGTTACATCAATTCCTAAATAACATGACTTCTTGATGTACCCTTTGCAATTGAAGAATTTGTGTCTAGTAATCACACCCATTGAAAGCTTTCAATTCACACATTTAAATTGTATATATATTAAACCATTAATTCCAACATTTAGCGATAGAAGTGTTGAAGGTATCAGGTCACCCTAAATTATTGAAAAGCCTTTTTATTTTTCGGAACAGTTGAACGAGAATTTTCAGTTGAAAAATTCTAAATTGAATAAATGATAAGCCTTGCTATACCGGATCTTTCTTGCAAATTTGTTTACAAATTAACAAGTGAAAGAGTTGATTATATGGGCCGAACAAATATGTCTTAACATATAACTTTATGCTAGTTAAAGATCGAGATATTGTTCCCATCTTGGTGAGAAATTTTCCCATGACACTACGCTCACCAAAAATTCATAAACTCAATAGGTCAGTGACTACTACTCATTTGGTCTATGCCTCTTTATGGTAGGTTAATTATCATCATTCATTTATAATAATTTTACGCGTAGAGACTTGAATGAATGAAGATAAACAACTGCTCCCATCTAAGAGACGCACTTCTTTGTTCTACTTGTGATCTTAATAATTTTACTTTGTTTTTGACAAACTTTAAAATGATCAAATTAAAAACACCTTTATCGAGTAAAAGGTTCGTAAAAGAGGAGCAGTCAACAGATGTATACAAGTAGATGCTTCCTTGGAACTTTGGATCTGGTGCTAAACCTGCAGGTAGGTCTCATTCGAACCCCATCACCCATCTTTATTATTTTTTGTTGCCTTCATTACATCCCATTCAGGATAGGATTTTGAGAGGACATATTCAATAAACTACTAAACTTTATCAAATTTGTATCATAGTATTTTATTTCCCATTTAGCTAATAATTAATTTTTCGCCCATGAAAACCCTACAATAACGTAATTGAACAAAATACCCTTTAACTAAGAAATTAAAATAAGTTTATTAATGTTAAAGAAAATAGAAAATATATTAAAAGCTGTGAAAGAAAGGTTACAACGATGTAGAGTTCATGTACCTTACAAATTACCTTTTTGTGAGCACATTCTAGTTCGTAAAACGTTATTGTAACTCCTGTGCTGCATCAATGTCGTCTAAAAAGTTAAGTTGTTAAAGATTGAATGAATCATTCATTCGGATGATTCCTTACAAAATACATAAGTGAAATCATTCCATGCATATATAGACTTAGCTTTATGCAATAAACGCATAAACAAGGAAAAGAAAAAATTGATAGAAAATTAGTGGCACTGCATGAATAGTTGATTTTCTTTTGAATTAGTAGACATTAGAAAGTGATTGAAGTATTGAGACAGATCCCAATTGATTTTGGCACAGGGCCACCATGGGTCATTGTATGACATTGGTTCACCCCTACCCCACCCTCATATATCTATATTATGCCTTTGTACTCCAATTTTTCAATCAAAATACATTTTTCAATAATAATTTAATCCTATTTCAATCACACATTTTTTTAAAAAATAATCTTACACGTAAACTCAAAAATTTTCCTTAATTTTCAACCACATTCTTCAACATAACACTATTTCAAAATGTATTTTTTGAGGAAAAAAAAAAAGAAGAAAGCTCAAACAAACCCTATATTTTCACAAATAAAGTAGCGTCGGCCGGGTCGGGCCCAAAGGGGAATAATGGAAGTTGCCTTCATCTTCTCTGTACTGGTTCCACCAATTTTCATACATGCTGTCTTTGATATCAATGCTCTCAACTAATTTCTAGTTTGAATTTTAATGCATTAATTTCATTATTAAACTCATCCACGATAAGAATGGGTGACGTCAAGTCCCTTGCAACAGAGAAATGACCTAAACTACAAGGCACTATTGACTTAGCATTTTCAAGTAATAAAAAATTGATTTCAATGAAATTAGGGCAAGAATATGTTTGTGAGATGTGACAATTATCAAGAATTTCATTTATTTATGTTGTTATGGTATCTTTGACAACTATTGTCAAATCAATAAAATCGCGGCTGTTAAGATATATAACATCTTATTATGAAAACTAAGTAATGTCATTATCCTAGTTAACATAGATATTTTGCAACTTTGGTCAATTTAGTGGCTATAACAAGACATCACATTTGTCATTTTATTAATGACAAACTTACCAAATTTGACTATTATCTCTTTTACGAGGAAACGTGACACTGTTAATTATATAATGATATAGACTCTCAATCCTATATTTATTATCATTTCTACCTATAAAACATGTTATTATATTCTTATCCTTAAACCGTAATAGTAATTACATATTTTATTAGATCCATAACACATTCCATTAATTTTATTATATTAATCGCAAACTTACTCAGTCGACTATGTTATCACTTTTAGCCGCAAAAGGATGTTATATTATTCATACAATCAATCTATGAAAATCCAATATTGAATCGGGAGCTTAGCCGGACAAAATTTGACAAAGAAAGAAACACTATAGCCTCCCGGAGCATAGCCCAACTGGTGAATCAATCAACATTTGTCGTGCTTTCAGCGGCAGAGTGGAGGTTCAAATCTTAGTGGGAACTTGCAGCCAGATTTATTTGATATGGAGCAATCACTTTGGAGGAGGATCTCTTGTGCGCAGAAGTGTACAGGTGATGGGGAGAACTTGTGATCCAGTTGAGGCATAACTCGCGATTTACCCCATCCAAGATTCTAGAGGCAAGGATCCTGGGGGTCTAGGATTTAATCTAGTGTAAAATGGAATACCTGGATATAAAAAAAAAAAAAAAGAAACACTATAGTCTGAAAATGAAATAAAATCTCTCCTAAATTATGTTTGTCGTCTGGAAAGGATTGTGTAGACTATGTAAACCTCGTGGTCCTCTATTATTATGCTATAATCCCTATTTTTTAGTTATTTTTTCCACCAATTTTTTAAGGAAAAGTTGGGGCTTTAATTTATTAAAATATTTATTCTATTTTAGTAAGACAGGCCCTTAACATCTGCACAATCTTTAGCTGAGGTTTATGTAATTACACTGATCATGTTGCTCACACGATCCATAGCGCGTAACAAACACAGTATACGTGGTAAGCCGGATACAATGCGTGCTGGGAACGTTCTTAAGAGTGTGAGTCTGTGAGATTATGACACTTTTTTTCTGGTAATTTAAGGTACCAAACGCCCCATTTTTACGTTATGGTTATGACTTGTTAAGGACTTGTATGCGGCTACTAAAAACATGCCCACGTGGCTAGTCATGTCAAAGTGGGCCCACCCAACATGGACTCTGGTTATGGTTACATCCGATGGCTCTCTGCCCCAGGGTCTCTCTTTTCCATTTATCTCCCACCCCCCCACTCTCTCTCTGCTATTTATTCCACCGGATCATGACCCGATTATGGCAGTCATTGCCAGACCCGAACCGCCCAGTTTTTCTCCATTTATATAATTGTATATACCCCTACATTTCCTACTCTTTAGCCTCCAATTACAAATTTCACTAGGTTGCATGTTTGTTTGAGAGGACCCAAGTTAGGCCACTAAATGTGTAGAAAGCTACCTTATCTTGTTAGTACAAACTACAAAACCACCCAGCTATCACTTTTTGTTAAAGCACAGTTTTCACTTATTTGAAGTTGTTTTGAACTTTTGATCATTTTTTTGAATCAGTCTCTGAACGTTTCTATGAAATGGACGTGCTCGAGAGACAGTGGATGAATATGAAGTGGCAAAAATCAGCTACTCATCTGAATGAGGATTATCGGTTGAGTATGTTTTCTATACCTTCCATTCAAGATCAACAGTTTCAAGGTTTGGTTGAGAGTGATCAAGGTATTGTAGAACTCGTGGCTCAGGCAAAGAAACCAGACCCGGTTATGGAAAATGGAAGGAATAATTTTTGCAGAGCTGAGAATAGTTTGAATTATGCTAGTTGTGTATATTGGAATGGGTCTGAGTTTGAAATGAATTATGCGATTCCAACAACAGCCAGCTGCCCACCAGAAGTAGCAGTTGCCAACAAAGTGAAGGAGGTGGCCCTGCCGGAAAAGCTGGGCTCTGCAGCCAGAAGAGAAAGTTTCAAGAAGAGGAAGTCCTACAAGGCTAGGGAACTTAAGGTGCATATCCCATAATTACTACCTCTATTACTTCTACTGATTTGCTTATTGTAATTTCAATCATTAAAAGCTACTTAATTTCGATTTTAAGCGTTAATCAAAACTTTTGGGACATGATCAGGTAGTTGCAGAAGAACAAAACAGAGAGAAAAAGGCCAAGGGACGTGTAGAAGAGGAGGATTCTAAGATCACAAAGCAAAATAGCAACAGTAAGAGAACCACCACCACTAGTAACAACAACAAAGAAACTTCTGCCGATAATTCGAAGGGGAATTCAAAGCTCTCCGAGATTCCAAAGCCCGACTACATTCACGTTCGAGCAAGACGTGGGCAAGCCACTGACAGCCACAGCTTGGCAGAAAGAGTATGTTCAATTTCAACTGCTATGTTTTGAAGAATATTTTCTATTTACTCATTGTTCATTCTACTCAGTAAATGGTGTTAATTATGCAGGTAAGGAGGGAAAAAATTAGTGAAAGAATGAAGTACCTGCAAGGTCTAGTACCTGGATGCAATAAGATCACTGGGAAAGCGGGAATGCTCGACGAAATCATCAACTACGTCCAATCACTCCAAAGACAAATAGAGGTACAACTGTAAACGATCATATTTCATCACATATTCATGTATCTGCTTAAATATAGAAATAAGGGAATCTATCATCGTGACAGTTCCTATCCATGAAACTCGCTGCAATCAATCCAAGCCTTGCATTTGACATTGAAAACTTCATGGTTGAAGAGGTAAAGACAATTTTTTAGTGTTGTGCTAGCATCTTGTAACTAAAACAAATAGAACTATTAAAAGTGATTTCTATTTTGAAGTCATTTTTACATTTAATGCCTACAGATGTTTCTAGCTAGTACATCTAGCATTCCCACAGCTGGGGTGTCATTCGATGTCATTAATCCTTCTCACATTCAGTTCAACTCATTACAGCAAGGAGTTTCATGTTATGGTCTAGAAACGGATGTAAATCCTCCTGACATAATGCTCCGAAGAACCATCAGTTCTCCTGTATTAATGCCAGAGATACTTCTAGAATCGTCCTATTTAAATGCAAGTATTTCTACATTTTCATCTTCAGGTAATTATACTTTATATCCTCAGGGACCAATAATTCTTACAAACAATTCAAAATACAGCAAATTCAGCATTCGACCTGGGATCCCGAGTTTCAAAATCTCTATGGCATGGAGTTTCATCAAGGAAAATCAACTTCATTCAATACTAAGCCACTTACAAGTGTACAGAACAAACATGTCTTGTCAAATGTTAAAACCTGATTTTCATAACTTAGGAATATCATTAATTCAAAATGATAAAGAGACAATAGAACCCCACAAAAGTTAATGATATAGCTTGGGAGTAATATGGTCCTCTTTAATTTATATTGAGGAAGTTGCTTATTAGGAATCTTTCTTTATCTGTCTTCCACTTAAGCTGAACATGGTTAAGCCATCTTGCTTTTAAATGTCAATAATTCCTAAACTCATTAATCCAAATGATATACAAGTTCATACTAGCATTTGCTTAGGAAATGGAGCAATTAGTTAACGTAAAATTACTATTTTCTAACACACATTATATCCTGGCATTCCTTCATAACCAAGTCATCTCAAATAGGTCTAACTTAGTTCAGGTCCAAATTTCATGCTTCAAAATGTCTTTGACATAATACCATGTACAACAATATATTGAAGTTTGAAACTAAAAGGGCCTGATTATTGCAGGTTTCACAGAAGCAGGCAATGTGGAGCTGGAGAAGTGAAACACTAGTCGAATCTAAATGTTACTGATATCCATTCCTTTTCCTATTTCCAATTGCATATCGTATATACAGTTGTAGTATAGAAATATTTGTAATGATAATGTTTGTCTTTTAACCATAATTTTTACTTCTGTGAAGATGATAACTGTAAAAGCATCACAAGATGAAACTGCATAAGGAAGTATAAATGGCTAAAAGGTAGAAATTTCAGGCAGGTTGCAAAAATAAATCGAGGTAAAACAAAAAGGAATGAAACATACTGTAAATCCCCTTTTGATACACATTCTGGTTTAAACAGATAATAAATACACCATAAGGCTAAGTTCAACTTGCATATAGGCTGTAGATACGAACGGACGGATAACTTAGCATAACATAACCAAAATCAATGTTTTAAAAAAGCCTTGCTAAGACAACTGGATCACACATCAAGTGGTACAAATTGTCCTGTGTCTATTTAAATATTAAGCCATTTACAGCATAAAATACAGGGCGGTAGTACTTTATACACTAGAACTCAAAGATGACATGTATCAGAAATTATCTACACCAAGAATAGCATATTCTACTCCCATAAACCACCTTTAAAACAAGTGATACATGACCTCGCCCTATAAAGTAATCATATCAAAATAGAAGGCAGTAACTTTGATACTGAAACATTCATTAATCATTTAAAAATAATGCTATCTAGCACTAATGGTGTTGAACACCAATTTAGATGTCAACATATCATAGATCCTATTAAATAGATCATAATTCCTTGCACTTAATTGAACTTGTAATTTAATTCCACTAGCATTTTCACCTAGACTCATGTTAAACACTAATGATGCTAAATAGCATTGCTTATCATTTAATCGTCTCTCTCTTCTAAAGGGAGCCTTTTGGGCTTTATAGTCAATAAAGCTGCAGAAAGTGGCCTATGCTTTTAATGTAATGAGTCCTCACAGAGTCTCTCTCATTCAATCCATATGTAAAAGGCCAAGGGTAGACCAAGCCTCATCCAAAAGTCTGATCTCCTTGATTCTATTTCACGCAGCGGCTGGTGTGGAAGAATTTGCAATTTGTAATACTCTGCCCACTCACCAGTATGAATATCATTTTTTTTTTCTTTATTAAAACTTAAAAATTCTCCCAACCACTTTTGGCATATTACAGTTCCGACAAATAAAGCTAAAACCTAAAAGATTCTTAAAGCTGTGTGGATGCAGCATAATGGTCAAGCAGATATTTTTCTGAGAGCAATACATATCAGGTCACATACTTAGTCCTCCACACCAGTTCCATTGTTTCTTCGTAGTTGCACCTTAGTCAATTCCATACTTTATGCCCTTGTTTGAGCCCCATTTTTCTATCAAAATTCATTTTTCAACAATGATTTGATTCTACTTCAACAACACATTCTTCAATAAAATAATATTATACGTAAATTCAAAACTTTTCTTTATTTTTTAACCACACATTTCTTATCAACATACTATTCAAAAATGCATTTTTTGGACAAGAATGAGGCTCAAACGAGGGCTATATCTACTTTCAAAAATATGAATTATGGGAATTTGTTAGTAACTTAAAAATGGCATGTCCTACCCAAAACAGATAGAGTTAGATGGACTGGGGAAGTTGATCAGAAACAATAGGGACTAAAATATGCAAATTGAAAGCTGAGGGATGAAACTAAAGGTTTCCTATAACTTACGACTGTAAATACAAACAACCAAAAAATGATCATCCGTAGAACCTCGCATTCAGATCCAAAGCATATTTGCGATCAATCTTTTGTTGAATGTTATGTCAAAGATAGAGATTTGATTCCCTAGGGTCTTGTAAACTGAAGAAGTAAAGAATTAAGTCGATTGGATGAAGCTGTAGTATGCCTAATACTTGACCCCGAAGCCAATTTTATGCCAAGTCCACTGTCAGATAATTAACAAATATAAGTGGTATTGTAATACGATACATGTCACTGGGATGCATGCGCCAAATGAAAAATGTCTGCATATATATGCAAGGTTGTATCCCTTATTCCCGAAGCAAAATATTACCAGATTTCTCAATGCTATGGAAGTCATAGTTTCCTTTAGAAAAACTGTACAAAAGGCTGATGCTGGAAATTATGATGATTTTCTCCAAGTGAGAGGCCTACAACTAATGTTGATATCTTTGGTAGATTATTCTCCACCCATCGTGAATAGGTGAATCAACCAAATCCATAACTAGAAGTGCAATACAAATACCCATCCATATGCGTACAATGAAATTTGCAGTGCCTCACAAATTCGAACACCAATCAGCACGGATGCACAAACCTGATCCGCATAATGGAAAAGCCATATTACATCATTGAGTAGACTATCTACTAATAATATACACTAACATTCATTTGAAGGAAACCTACCTTTAAACAGCTACAACTGAGTTGCATGCTGACATGTTTATCTTTTTGCTTGTTCCACCACAACACAGATTCTTCCCAGACTCCATCATTGAATAAAATGGACAATTTGTCAAAAGAGTGGCTTGGAAACCAAGAAGTGAATTCCAATTATAGCATTGAGAATGTAACTTATCCAGGAACAACAATGTTTTGTGCAGCTTAGCAATTGTAGAAGCAATACTCACGCTTCCCTGCAGTACACTGAAGTTAAAAAAATACAAAAATGTCAGTTAAGCATGGATGCCAACTGGAGCATGTGTGATCAAATATTTGTGCAACCTTTGGATGCTTCGGCTCCTGTTGCCCATGACACCAGTAACTGGCTTCAATCTTTCTGCTTCCTTGCATCTCCTTCCAGAATCCTACCCATTGTCGCGACCTATTCTCAGGACAATAATGAAACAATGGTAGATCTTAAAGCTGGAAAAAGCTAATCAATAGAATCCACAATTCAGTTTTATCGCTTTTATTTTATCAAAGTGATATCATGGAAAACAAAGACCGTTAATTTGATTTTAATTTTCAGACAAATATTCAAGCTTAAAAACATTGAAAGAAAGTATTGGTTTAACATTTCATAAAGAAGAAAGAAATGGTTTCATATAAAGGCTTGGCATGTAGTTATCTTTATTTAAGTCGGCCTTACTCGGGCTAAGTTCAAGCAAGATCAGTGCTTTAAGCTAAAAGCTTAAATTATCAACCAGAGGGCATTCATCCATCAGATTAGTCTAACCCGGTTAATGCATGGAGGAAAATGCATCTAAGATCAAATATTTTGAGACAATTTCTGTGGAAAATTTAGGCGAAACTAACTTCCCAGAGCAGGATATCAACTATGACATTCACTTCCCATCTCGAAAATCTAATGCAAGGGACAAGAGAGCATTAATCTCTGGGTAGTCCGATGGGACGGGATAGAGCTAGCGTTTAGGTCCTCTTCTTGGCAACAAGCAACCACTTCCGACTTTCATGGTTAAGGGCTTTAATGAAGAAAAAGAACCAACAAGATAGGGTGGTCTTTGCTCCATTCTAACTAACAAAAGCGGAACATGTAGCTTTGCATCCTTGCTCGATCATCCTATCGATCATGGTAAAGCAAACATGGAAAGCACAATCAGTATCAGTATGAGTGGGGGCCAGAAAGACGAAGAAGAACCCTTTTAATCTAGCTGGTAATAGGCTCATGTATCACCTTCCAAGTATTTGCTTTATTTATGTATTGCTCTAGGTTCCCCAAACGGGATATAAGGGACTTTCCCGAGTCCACTTCCGACTTTCATCGTTAAGGGCTTTAACGAAGAAAAAGAACCAACAAGATAGGGTGGTCTTTGCTCCATTCTAACTAATAGAAGCGGAACATGTAGCTTTGCATCCTTGCTCGATCATCCTATCGATCATGGTAAAGCAAATATGGAAAGCACAATCAGTATCAGTATGAGTGGGGGCCGGAAAGACGAAGAAGAGCCCTTTTAATCTAGCTGGTAATAGGCTCATGTATCACATTCCAAGTATTTGCTTTATTTATGTATTGCTCTAGGTTCCCCAAACGGGATATAAGGGACTTTCCCGAGCTAAGTAAACCACCCGAACTATGCGAAGTGAATCTAAGTAATCTGCTCTGATTGGAATGGTTATTTCTTCTTATTGGCCTTTAAAATAGTCCTTGTACCAGGTACACTAAAGAATAAGACAATCCACGAGGCCATTATACGATTATGAAAAGGATCGAGTCAATTAGTCAGCTTTGCCTTGTTGATAGGCTAAAGCATAGCAGCTCGAGAATTTTCAATCCACCTCTCATCTATCTCTGGCATGGACGGACTCAAAGTCATTTAGCCCTTCTCGCTAACCACACATAGTATTCATCGTATTTGATCGCATTCCCTCCCGATCACCCGGGTTCAACTAATTAGGCAATTTTTTGGTTGAAACAGCTCACTCCGCTCGCCCCCTCCCCCTTCGCTTTTGGAACTTATGCATGGAAGAGTCCGACATCCATGGGAATATATAACATTGTACGAACATACCATTTACACAGCAGCACACACTTCTCATTTACTCTCTTACAAATAGGACTAGAGGTTGGAGTAGAAGGCTCATGAAATGTGCCAAAATCATAATAAAATTTGATCAAAGGAAATGAAAAAAATCAAACACTAACCAGCAACCTTACGGCAAGCTCCTCCATATGGCCCCGAGTCATCTCGTATACAATATCATTCTCGAAACCTAATCCATATTACAAGTACATCACATGTGGAAGAATTGAATCAAGTGCATCTTTAGAATCTCGATTTCTGATTAACTTGCTAGAGGGGAAACTGTTTATATTCTATGATTGTTGCGCTGTGAATCTCGCGCGGGTGATTTTGGATTTTACTGCTGCCTCTAAATGTATTATTCTCACATTTAACCAAATACAGAATTCTATATAAAACGAGAGGAGACCATTAACACCTTATTCCTTAAAAGACCCTAATTTTATTTATCTATCTATTAATGCCACTAGATTACTGGTATTTAACCACTCCACTGTACCTTTCTTCTACATCCTCCTCTGCAAGAACCATGAATGGCATATGGCAATAAGCATTGGCATCAAACACCAGCCCCATTGGGGGCACATGGATTGCAGCACCCTGTTCAACGAAAGCAAGGGAGCGAGACAGA